GGGTCAGTGGTTTTGTTCAGTGATGTGTGGTTGCTGGTGAGTATTTGCTTTAGGTTGGCGGGTTGTCTGTAAGCGAGGACTGGCCTGTCTCCCAAGATCTGTGAGAGTGAGTGATCGTCCCTCAGGATAGGTTGTAGATCGTTGATGATGCACTGGAGAGGTTTTAGTTGGGGGCTGAAGGTGATGGCTTGTGGCATTCTGTTACTTTCTTTGTTGGGCCTGTCCTGTAGTAGGTGATTTCTGGGTACTCTTCTGGCTCTGTCAATCTGTTTCTTCACTTCAGCAGGTGGGTATTGTAGTTGTAAGAACATTTGATAGAGATCTTGTAGGTGTTTATCTCTGTCTGAGGGGTTGGAGCAAATGCAGTCGTATCTTAGATCTTGGCTGTAGACAATGGATTGTGTGGTGTGGTCTGGATGAAAGCTGGGGGCACGTAGATAAGTATAGCGGTCAGTAGGTTTCCAGTATAGGGTGGTGGTTATGTGACCATCGCTTATTAGCACTGTAGTGTACAGGAAGTGGATCTCTTGTGTGGACTGGTCCAGGCTGAGGTTGATGGTGGGATGGAAATTGTTGAAATCATGGTGGAATTCCTCAAGGGCTTCTTTTCCATGGGTCCAGATGATGAAGATGTCATCAATGTAGCGCAAGAAGAGTAGGGGCGTTAGGGGATGAGAGCTGAGGAAGTGTTGTTCTAAGTCAGCCATAAAAATGTTGGCATACTATGAGGCCATGTGGGTACCCATAGCAGTGCCGCTGACTTGAAGGTATACATTGTCCCCAAATGTGAAATAGTTGTGGGTGAGGACAACGTCACAAAGTTCAGCCACCAGGTTTGCCGTGACAGTATCGGGGATACTGTTCCTGACGGCTTGTAGTCCATCTTTGTGTGGCATGTTGGTGTAGAGGGCTTCTACATCCATAGTGGCCAGGATGGTGCTTTCTGGAAGATCGCCAATGGATTGTAGTTTCCTCGGGAAGTCAGTGGTGTCTCGAAGATAGAGCTAGGAGTGCTGGTAGTGTAGGGCCTGAGGGGAGAGAGTCTACATAGCCAGAGACTCTCAGGTTTTTCTGCAGTTTCATACCGGAGCTCTGAGCAGTCATACTGCTCTTACATACAATGCAACTCCCCCACCTTTTCTGCCCTGCCTGTCCTTCCTGAACAGTTTATATCCATCCATGACTACTCCAGTCATGTGAGTTATCCCACCAAGTCTCTGTTATTCCACTCACATCATAATTCCTTGTCTGGGCCAGGACTTCCAGTTCTCCCTGCTTGTTTCCCAGGCTTCTTGCATTTGTGTACAGGCACTTCAGTGAGTTATCTTATCATCCTGCTTTCTCAGTATATTCTATGATTCCTCCCGTCGCTGTCCCTGTGTCCGAGATCTGATCCCTGTTCCTCACGTGTCTGGTGGCATGTGTTCAGATAGCTCAGTCATCGACCCTCCCCCCTCACGCCTGCTGCACTGGAGTTGGGTCGTGTGGGCCCAGGGCGACCAAGCTGGGGCTTTTATCATTGTTTGCGAGCGTTCCTTCTGAACCCTTGTTCCAGGCAGCCACCTGAGGAGGCTGGGGGAGGACGGGCTTGATGGGTCATTCACATTGTTGAAGTATTCATGCCATGAGAGCAAGTCCCTGCAGAGCCCCACAGCGTATTACAGCAGTTCTAGTGGCAAACGTTTAAAAGGAAACTGACTTGTCTAGTTACCGTGAGCCAAGGTGCTGTATTGCTGGGAACGAGTCTTTCCTGGTGATTATTTTGCCAGTTCAGTGTGGTACTGGCAGCGCACCGGGAGCATTGGTGTGGGAGTTCGGCTGTGGGGGGAGAGGGACTGCAGGAAGGAGCTTCGTTAGCTTTAGTGCACCGATCTAGTGATTACAGCGAGGAGTCCTTATGGCACCTTAGAGACTAACACATTTATTTGGGCATAAGCTTTCGTGGGCTAAAACCCACTTCATCGGATGCATGGAGTGGAAAATACACTAGGCAGGTATGAATACACTGCATGTGAAAAGATGGAGTTGCCTTACCAAGTGGGGGGGGGTCAGTGCCAACGAGCCAATTCAACTAAGATGGAAGTGGGCTATTCTCAACAGTTGACAAGAAGGGGTGAATACCAAGGGAGGGGGGGGGAAATCACTTTTGTAGTGCTAATCAGGCCAATGTAATCAAGGTGGCCCATTTCCAACAGTTGACAAGAAGGTGTGAGTGTCAGCAGGGGGGAATTAGTTTTTGTAGTGACCTATCCACTCCCAGTCTTGATTCAGCCTAATTTGATGGTGTCCAGTTTGCAAATTAATTCCAGTTCGGCAGTTTCTCGTTGGAGTCTGTTTTTGAAGTTTTTTGGTTGAAGAATTGCCACTTTTCAGTCTGTTATTGAGTGTCCAAGGAGATTGAAGTGCTCTCCTATTGGTTTTTGAGTGTTCTAATCCTTGATGTCTGATTTGTGTCCATTGATGAACTGGCTTCCCCACCCCACTTTCAAGAGCGACCTGCAGCAGAAAGAAGTTTCTGATCCTGATGGAGTTAGCCTCACTAGAGCAGAAACTTGGTAGCAAGGAAGGGCCAGTGCATGGCACGCAGGCTAATTGCAAACCATATGGTTCTGCAATATAGTCCTCCCTCCGATCCAGGGGAGAACACGGCCTGCTGGGAACTGTACTATCTGTGGACTGCACCTCTCTATTAAATGTGCAGTCTGCTTCATTTATGTCAAGCCCAGAGAGTGGGAGATAGGACTTTGTTTAGAGGGGAGATTCTGGGACAGGTTGAAGTCTCTTATTGATCTTTCACCGTGGCTCTAAGCGCCTCTTATATTGTCCTTATGCTGCTGTGGGATGCAAAAGGAAAACCCTGATCATTGGGGGCTGCTTGCTGGATGCAGTCCCCTCTTCCTTCCCTATGATGCAGGGAGCTGTTACCTATTGTAGTGGTTTCCCTGGTGTTGCTGCCTCATAGTGACATTTATTACGACAGAGTTTGTGGCTGACGGAGCTCGCCCCCCTTCTGCATGACAAGTTCCAGTGCATTGGAGTTGGTATGGTTCTGTTGCGGGATGGGTGCAGGGGAGCCCAGTGGCCAGCCCTTGGAGAGCAGGTCATTTTAATTGAAGTTGGGATGTGGCGATCCATGGAACAGTTGTAGAATCTGCACTTCCAAGAATCTTTCACCGGATCCTACTTGGCTGTGAGCCAGTGTCCTTGGTGTCTCTCCCTCCTGGGGAGCATTACAGAGGATTTGTGACGTGTGATTTGTGACGCCTGACCTGACTCCCTTTCAAATCCTCTTCCAGGAGGCCTTTGGAGACCTGGCCTTGTTCTTCTATGACTCGCACGGCGGGGAGGTGATTGGAGTTTTGTGGAAACCTTCCAGTTTCGAGCCCCAGCCTTTCAAGGTGAGTTTTTGACCCTCTGCTTTTAGTTTCTTGTTGTTCGTTGCGGTGCTGTGGGAAGTTTGGAGGGGATTGTAATAACAATAGTGTCACCTAGTGTCTCAGAACAGATCTCAAAACGCTTTACAAAGGCGGTCAGTATCCTCTCATCTCACACTCGGGGAAACTGAGGCACAGAGAGGTGACGTGACTTGCCCAAGGCCATCCAGCCAATGGCCGAATCGGGAACAGAATCCAGGTCTCCCGAGTTCCAGTCCAGAGCTCTATCCACTAGGCAATAATACCCCCCAATACATACATCCTTTGACCAACACTAACACACACACCCTACTTAGCCCTCCTGGAGAGTAGGTGAGTGCTGTCTCCATTGACAGGGAAACTGAGGCAAAGAGCCCCATTTTCAAAGGAAGCCTGTGTTTTTTGGCTGCCCAGTTTGACACCCCCGGGCCTGATTTTTCAGAAATGCCAAGTGTCTGTCGCTCCCACTGACCAGTAGGTGTCCAGGACGGCAGCACATGCTGAGTTTGTGCCACGCAGTTTAACGTGCAGAGCTATTTGGGAGCGAAGGTGTGGCTTGGAGAGTCCCTGGGGGATGGTAAAGGTGGATCTGATGCACAGGCGTGGATGTGATTCATGCTGCTTTATGCGAGGAACTCATCAAAGACGCAAAGAAACTTGTGATTAATGGCCCACAGTTCTTCTGGCAACCCTGCCTGTTCTGCTGGACCACGTGTAGCTCCTCTCTCTGCGCCTGGGGCACTTGCTGGCCTGCAGTGCTGCTGCTTTGAAATCTAGTCATTCATTGCCATGAAATGAGATGATGCCCCCAAGCCCATGCCTAGCGTTACACATCTGAATAGCTCTATTGACTTCCGTGAGAGAATTCCATGCTTACAGTAGCTTGCTGGATCGGTTTCTTAGCTGCCAGTAACAGATTAAAGCAAAGGCAGATCAGACACGTTGTCTTTGATCTGTTGACCTTTAAGACATCCTCTATGCATCGGTTGCCTGCGTCTGTCCCCACCTCCTGAGATGGTCAGTGAGTAATTTTTCCAGTGTTCAGCGTGCACATATAAGGGGGTCATTGTGATTGGAAATTGCATCGTTGCTCTATTGACGGGCTGCTTGGTTGTGTACGCTCTGAAGGGGGCGCTTTTGCAGCCTTCTGGTTTACACGGTGTATTTTGCAGCTCACTTGATTGTAACAGGAGCTGTTAAAAGTGAACGTAGTGCTAGCAAAAGGGGACGGGATTGGAAGAGAAGTGGTGAGACTGGACAGTGACACCATTACTTGTCATGTTGGGCTCACTGCGGAAGGGTAGGAGTGGGTAGGGGTTGCATTAGAGATTTAACTTCCGGAGAAGAATACAGCATTGCTTGGCACAAAATGTAGATGTCAGTTAGCCCAACTCATATGCATGTGTATTACAGGCATCCAACATGAAAGGAAGAATGATGGCATCTCTAAGCTGTGAGGAGCTAGTCACCGTTCCCAATGTGGAAGCCATCCTAGAAGACTTTGAGATCCTGGGAGAAGGTCTGGTCAGATCAGTGGAGGCACGTACAGAGAAATGGACTATCTAAAACCATCAAGAGCTCTTGTTAGGCCTCCTGTACCATATCTGTAACCCTTTCTGTTTATAAAGCTGTTCAGGGGAAGAAAATTCTTGAGCAATATCTCAAATCCTGTTAATCTGGTACACATTCATAGAAGCATTGCAGCCCTTGAAAAGGGATAATATTTTCTATAGACATAGACACCCCCTCTTTATGCCTTCTCCAAAATCATCTCAAGGTGAGATGAATTGTTCATAAATGTTCCTATTTGTTCATCATGGTGAATGTTTATATAAAATTTCCATGTCTCAAATATCTGCTGGGATGTAAAACAGGAAGGGCATTTCCTAGTATAATAAAGAGATATTTATAATAACTGCTTTTATTTTTGTCACCAATAGCATTTCTCTGATATAGGGTTACCATACGTCTGGATTTTCCCGGACATGTCCGG